CTTCTTTTAAGTACACGCAGGTTCATTAATGGCTATATACAAAAGTACCTAACGGATTTTTTTTTAAAATTGAGTCTTTCGGCGGTTTTGTTCGTGAACAACAAACACAACGTGGGCCGTTACGGCTTTATACTATAGAGAAAAACACATAAATTTTAACTGTCGGGGAATACGAAAAAAAAAACAACTTGCGCGTGTTAAAATGTCATGTGTTTGACTTTTGTGAGCGAATTTAAAAAATAACGGATGTGTATTCAAAATCAAGATGTCTTTTTAAAGTTTTTACACTTCAAACATCCCCAAAGTGGTTCCCATGACCAATATAATCTAAGACTTGGCATATTAAAAACGTATAAAAATGTTCTGGATAGTTAACCTCGTGTCGATAGTTCCACTTAAGGCACGGTTTATAACTCAGATCACAGACCGACAAGAGTTAGTTTGAATAAATAACATAAAAAGATATTCCTCCGCTTCCTCAACGTGCACGGTAGATAACTCTTAATTCGAATTCCAGTTATGTAAACCCAAGAAAAATGTTTGAAATGAATTTAGCAAATGGCGGTGATCATATTTGCATTAGAGTTAAATATATTTTATTGGTAATAATTTCCATATATACTACAGTTCGAGATAATGAATTTAACAAATGGCGGTGATCATATTACAATTAGAGTCAAATATGTCATATTGGTAATAATTACCATATACTATAGAGTTCGAGATAATGTTTTAAACATGGTAAATTCAAAGAAAGATGTATGGAAATGGGTTACTCAAATATTGATACAATACATGTGGTATGTGTCCCTTTATCTTTTGAGAAACATATCGAGATATCTGAGGCTCGTGTATATCTTTTCATAGTTTTGACGAGGGAAAGTTTATTACAAACACAATATTTTCATCCTGATTTTTTTTATAACTATTTTAGAGAGGAATAAACAAAAAATAATAATAAAATGTGCCGTCGAAGTTCTGCACGCATCTGTCGATTTTTAAACTTTTTTCAGAAGAAAAATATTTATTAAAACGAAAGATCGTGGAAAAAAATGTGCATGGTGTTGAAAGACGACAGTGCAGATAAGATATGTATATTTATGTAAATATCCGGGTGTATGTCAGTTAAAACACCCACATTTACCACTCAAATATTTAGCCCACAAACAGGAATATGCAAAGACCATGCTGATGATCCTGAAGATTTTGAACATCGAAAGCCGGTGCAACAAGAATTATAGTCTCGGCCACCCAGAACCTCCTAGTCTTCAACGTACGAAGGGTCTGAGACCGTTGTCAATATTTGACGAAAAGTTCCATTGCTCATGCGTAACCGGGAGATTTTTTTATGTCGTTGATTTTCCAGTATCTTTAGCAAAATCAAGTAAGAGTTGCGCCCCTCCGCACAACAAATCCCATAATTCTTGCATTATTATAAACAAACATAATACGTGACAACGAATTAGGGTTAATTTTTTAAAAAAAAAAACAACATAGATATGGCCCATGAAGAGAAAAAATTTACTATAAAAAAAATATGAGTGTTGGATATTGAACTGGCAATGCAATTAAAATGATTTTCTGAAATGGCATGTTTAATTTAATTTCATGGGCGTCGACATCTTGTTTTAGGACTAGTTACCTCCCTTAGACATTGTTTATAATAATGTAAGAGACTGGATAATCTAGCCAATGACCTATTATTCTCAAATGTTGACAACGCATCCAGACTAATATTCGTACAATATTTTTCTGGATGATAGTGACTACAATAATTAACGCCATGGGTTAATATCCGTTGCTTCCCATTTTGATTTTCCTAAAACATAAACCTTACATTAAGGATATATTATTACAACACTGTACGTATATAATTCAGTTTAAGTCATTAAACGTACATTATACAAGAGCTAAATCTGCCTATTGCAGGTCTTTCTTTAGGCGTGAAACGTTACATAAATTATTAATTAGACTTTATTAACTTATCCAAACCATAATCAACTCTCGATGCCATGGCTAGCCTGCGATACTTACTGAATTTGAATCCGATCTGCTGCTGCTCAAAGCTCAGTGATGAATAAATACAAAAAACTGGATAATCGAGACTATGGTGTTATCGTACCGACTTTAGTAATGATGATCGAGGCTAGGCTTAAAATTCAATTGCTAAATTCTTTGTTCATAGTGGATCAATTTGAATGAAATTTTCAGCAAATTCCATTTACATTATCTAGTTTTTAACTATTGTAGCGAGAACTGCCAGCTCTTTATCTAATCTTCCATAATAAATCTTTAAGTCATTAACTTTAAGCGACAAACATAGTTCAGTATTAAGGAGGAGATTTGTCATAAGATTCTTGCAAAAATGTTTTTTAATATAATCATGAGAACCAAAAACTTCATTACATCATTTAACGAAACAAAAGTGCACTTTAACGCACATATTCATTCACAGGAAATAGTTTTAAGTGTTATTTTGAAATTATTTGCATGTTTTTTTTTATAATTTACGATCTTCTGCGTCTTCTCAAACGCCCAAATTCTCTTATTTTGAAAAGCATTTAGTGAGAAAATGTTAAATTTAAGCGTTTTATGACGGCATGTTCCGACAGCTCGAGGTGGAGAGTTATCACAAGAAACAGAGAAGCGATGTTTATCTATAAGAATAATGATACATGTGTTAAGAGTAACGGTTTATAACACGATTATTCAATTAACAAAATATGCCATGTTTCATAGATAAAACAAATTTCACATAAATTCGGTTTCAAACTCTAGCACGGAAACAAGGCCATATTATTTGTCATTGAGTAAAAAAGCCAAGCTGTTATGCAAATTCAGCATTAGAACGTAGGGTATTCAACTTGTCTATTTTCATACTAAACGTAGGCTGTCTGCCTACAGTTAGCTCTGCTCGGGTATGGACTCCAAAAGCTAGTTTACCGACATTTTAAGTCCTAAATCGACGATTTTAGTCGAAAACAGTAAAGGAGCTAAATCGTTAATATTTGGGACCTAGAAATTGACCCAAATAATAATGTAATCTGATTGTATATAAACTGATTTACATTCAATTGTTTCCGTTTTGACTCTTAATTTCAAATCAGTTACGTCCAGCGAAATACGGCATGAGTCTCAACCGAATGGCAATTTCTAGCGTCTGGTTATTCAAGTCTATTGCGCCTGCTCTCGAGATAGGATATGGCGTGACCGTTTGACATGAGTTGTGGAATATGTCTAGCCTCGTTCTTTCTGGTCACTTGTTACAAATAAAACTGAAACGCACTATGGTACACGAGTCGTGTACCAATGATAAAATGTTTATTTTGTCTTAAATATTGGATTTCAGAAGCCTACCTTTTCCCGGTAAGATCACAACATCAATGTTGATTTGAATTGACAAATAATTCGCGTTTTCAACTTGTAAGACTTTGGATGATATTGAGTTAGAGACTTAGCTAATTTAAGCCCTAAATCGAGGATTTTAGTCGAAAACGCTAAGAATACTTCGAATTATTTGTTGAGTATTTATTCTGCTTCCATTTAATAAAACTGAAGAGGTTTATTTAGTCTTTGTGTGTATGACAGATGTGAAACGGAGTAGAACCGCATTACAAAACGTATATTAATTTTGTGATGTGGCGGCCATTTAGGGCAGAGATCTATTCTCGAAGTATAAAGTAGATAGATTTCTGTGTGTAGGATGGTTTATTATCGAATGGGAAATGTTCATAAGGAAAATGCGACCTGGATTTAAAAACCCAATACCACTCTTGTTGTAACTGAATTATATGTCCCAATCTTTATTCTGGTCAACAAATTGTACTATTTTACAATATTCCAATTAATTGATGATACAAATTTCATCTTAAAACACCTAATTTAAAAAAATTGGAAAAATTCAACTAAATGATTTGAAAAGCCTAACGTAAAGCTAACGTAACGTAAATTGTACTAACTAACTAACGTAAATTGTACTATTTTACAATATTCCAATTAATTGATGATACAAATTTCATCTTAACACACCTAATTTAAAAAAATTGGAAAAATTCAACTAAATGATTTGAAAAGCCTAACGTAAAGCTTTTCAAATGTGACTTGGATTTAAAAATATTTTTGAACCCTCTGGACAAGTAAAATAGGATTTAATGGATAATTTACACAACGGGTAGGACACTAACACATCTAATACTTAGAATAAGGCTATTTTTTATTTTCTGGAGCTGTCAAGCCAGCAAGAGTGTTATTGTCCCTTGCTTATGGGGATTTACAACACGTACTCGTTATTAAATCATACATTATTATTGGAGTTTCTACAGCTGTCTAGTCGTTCGGATGGAACGAAAAACCGAGGTACCCTGTACACATTGGCGTGCACATAAAAGATCCCTTTGCAATTGGAATTCGATATAAGAGTTGTGCCGCTGCCCTGGCAAAATTTTTCTCATAGCACACTGTATGGCGTATGCCCGTCTTCATTAGCCCAGTCGGAGAAGAACAGAAGGGCGTTAAAACACATTTCATTTCATTTCACTTTTCTATATTGTTTCATACTATGAACACCCAATGTTCATCCGACATCATATCATCATATACCTATACCGCTATTTACTATAATAATTTGTGGACGTTCTTACGGTAGTTCTTTGCGCTGGTTTTTTGATATACATAAAGTGATGCCTTGTTGGGATTTTTTTTTTATCCGAGAAGTATCAGATTACTTTTCCATTTACACAAATTGTCGAGATTTGAGATCAAAGAAAGTGTGAAATAAATTTTGTAATTATTTTGCCATTATTGTCCCGATTAGTTGAAAAAACAAAACTTTGAGGGATAATTCTTACGTTGTAAGATGATCATAAAAATGCCATTTGTATATAATATGATTTTCCTGTAAATGCCACTCTCTTACATTAGCACCATTATCAAAATCATATACAAAAAATAAACCATGTATCGAATAATAATTTATATTTAAAAATATATAACTGACTTACCTGTTACGCCATTCCAAGTGAAACTATTACATCTAAACATAATGACTATCACTTTTTCACCACCGATACAAATAAAAGAACATTAATCGTGTCCAAGACTGACAAGCGACTCGATGTAGTAGTCCAATGTATTAGATACTGGGAAGTCTAACTGACTATCAGTAACTACTGGCACTGAACTCCTATAGTATATAATCACGAGCAACGATTGGCACGAGCGCACGTGAGCAGCAGAACTCAAACAACAGAGCGTATAATAATTTTTTTTTTTTTTAAAAATCGCAAATCGTGTCACGCATCATAATGTCAGATTGTATCTAAGTTTTGTTGAAATTGTCATCATTTAATACTTTCCATGCCCGGTAGACTCCTGGCATATTGAAACGATGAACCTAGAAATACATAGAGGAATGCAACACGTGCATGGTTTGAACTATCCGTGTTTAGTTTTCATTTTTTTAAAAATGTTCTTTTCATGTTTTTGTTGTGAGGTTTTTGTATTGAAAGGTGAAGTTTGTAATATGAATACCCCAATGTTATAAATTCATCGTGGCATTAGAATCAGTTAACGGTCATAAGTATAACTATATTTCATTACATGCCGCAGTGGAACACAGGGGTTTGGCCTAAACGGTTTTATTGCAGGTGCACGACAGAGTATTTGCAGGTTCATTTGCGTTTTACGGAAACTTATGCAAATGTATAAAAGACGAGTAATCGATCGATGTCAAATTTAAAAGGTGTTGGCATTATAATCAATTAACACTTCACTTGTTGGGTGCTGATGCAAATAAGCAATATACAGCAATATGACACTTTGGGTTAAGGATAGAGCAGATCTTAAGACGTATACCAAATTACCTGGAATTTCTTACATCAATCAGTCTACATGGCACTATTAGAATACAATTTCTCGGCCTCAGCTTTTCTCTGTTTGATTGCTTTTTTCGTTAGCAACGACTTGCAAGTAGCAACCGGAAAGGATCGTCAGTCAGGATAAAATATATATACGAAATGATTATTTATTTGAGAACTGTGGACAATCCAAGCCCTCACAACAATTCAATAAAAATTATTGAAACTGTTCTTTTACAATTATCGTCATTCTTTTTGAACCAACAGGGGATAATCTTTTAGGAGCATTTAGTAACTAGACAGAGAAATAAAAACTAAATCTCGGCTAAATCTATTTGTTAAGGCCAGCTCAATTTTTGTCATGGTCGCTGAGATGTAAATAAGGTTAGGGCACGCGATTGTTGGTGAGATTGTACATCTCGTGACCTATGACGAAAAATTGAGATGGCCTTACCATTTAGCACTAACCCTATAACTTATATATTAATTTTTTTGAATGAGTATTCGCTCAAGGTAATCAAGTTAATACTGTTATACATAATCAACTAGTCACCGTGACTCGGTGTATAGAGTAGATATCATTTGAAATATGTGTTTAAAGATACATTATGTAAGATTATATAAAGAGCCAGTAGTTCTCACTATAATAGTTCAAAATTAGATATTATACAAGAGAGTATGCTGTAAATTTCGGGGGGTTGGGATGGCCTAGTGCTCTAGAGTGTCACGCTTCGACCTCTAGTTGGCCGGTCACCTCTGGCTTGCGGCTGTGGTTTCGATCCCAGGTGTGAGCGTATGTGGCTTGGAGATAGGGGCGCCTTCTCAACCTCGTGGGTTTACTCCGGGTACTCCGGTTTCCTCCCACAGCAAAGACCCCTGCGCGTGCGCTAAGATCATTAAAATGAACTTGTCTGCGATATCACCTTCGGTGGAAGCGGACGTTAAACGCTAAGAACAACACACTGTAAATTTCGGTCCAATTGCTTCACTCTAAACCTAGAAAACCGTATTTTAAATCACTGTAGCCTCGATTGTCATTGTTACCGCTGCCACGATAATTAACAAAGTTTCGGTTATCCATTTTTGCGGTTAATCATCAATGGGCACTGAATAGCACATCTAATTCAAATCCAATGAAGATCGGACACATAAGATGGCACCAAGAGTTTATTATGTTCTTGTCATGTTAATAAATGTCTGATTAATAGTTTATATAACATTTCAGGCCTAAAGAAAGACCTGCAATAGGCATATTTAGCTCTTGCATAATGTATGTCTAAGTAAACGTTTGCTAAATCACTCGCTACCTGGGCATCATGCTCCAGGTAATGCCAGTCATAACGTAACAGAACATGATATGGATTACAATTTTAGTATTCAAATTGAAATAGTGCGCCGGTATGTCTACCCATCGTTTCTATTTTTCTAAGTTATAATTATTTGATTTAATATTTTGTATAAGGGAATTGAATTTGTACACTACATAAAAACACGAAGCATTAAAAGAAAACTAATCTTGCGAAAATTGTAGTTTCTTTGAAAAGAAAACTATGTACAAGACTATAATTAACACTGATGTTCGGTCATTGCATCCGCTAGAAAAAAATGTCTGGTTTATAAATTGTTCCACCGAATAGATTAACTACTGTTTGATTACTTCGTCGATTTCTTACTTAGAAAATAAACCTAATGCAGACAGAAAACATATTTATAACAATCTTTAATCATCGGGAAAAGTAGAGTTATGCATCGTAAAGTGTACAACTGTCATGGCTAGTTGCCTTCCCCAGTTTGTATTAGTTTGAAAATCAGCAGGACATCCATCGAAACTCCTGATTGTAGGAGAAAACAGGCTGGAATGAATTACTCGGGTTAGTCTGACAACAACCGAGAGTTTGATAACTTCAAACATACCACATACTAATGTGCTTAATATAGCTGTGGTATCCAGATGTTTTCCATGTAGACCAACTTATATCGGGATTATGCCATAATTGTTCTAACGTTTTAGAGATAGCGCGTTTTTGCTAACTTATCTAAGATATTGGCATAATATACCTGAGTGTGTGAGTTTAATTGCCATTTTTTTTCACGAAAAACAATATATTAATAACCGACATTGATAATTTCAAATAAATTAGGAGTAAGACTACTAATTATTTCCTCATAGACTTAATTGTTCATTTCATGCCACATCTTAGCCTATTTTCATTTTCATTTTGAGGAAATTTCACGGGGCCTTAAAGTAGCTAAAGCCCTGTTCTTTGGTACCTAGAAATGGACATAAATCGGTCGCAACGCATATAATAATGTAATATGAATATATATAAACTAATTTACATTCAGTTGTTTCTGTTTTTACTGTAATTTCTAATCAGTTATTTTCGGCGAAATACGCGAAGAGTCCAAATAGAATGACAGCCTTTGGCGTCTGGTTATTCCAGTTTATACCGATAGTATTCATCCCTGTGGGGTAGGTGTAGCCCCGTTCATTGAGTCGCTTCATTACAAATGGTGCTCGGGAATATTCTGGCACGCAATTTATGTGCCAATTTTAAAATGTTGATAAAATATTGGATATCAGAAGCCCATCTTTTCCCGGTAAGATAACAACATCAATGTTGATTTAAATTGACAAATAATTCGTGTTTTCAATGTCGAAGATTTTGGATGACAAGGACTTACCTCCTTTATGATACCTATATAAATTGTCACTACGCGAAGTTTGATATGAACCTGTATTAAAAATATACGATTTCGTACAATGGACGTCCGCTTACCTCTTGATCCTGTCCGCCCCCAGATCATTAATTGTCGCAAAGTCCCTACAGAAAAATGAAACATTAAACCCTTATCAATAATTGTAAACCAAAAGAGCAAAAAAAAAAAAAAAAGAAAGAGAAATAAATCCAAATGTAATGAGTGGACCTACTCCAGCACACAATGAATTGTCTCCCCTGATATTCGTCACTATCGTTATATTAGGCGTTTGATTGGTTAATAGGCTAATCAATTCCATGAATTTAGATTCAAGAACGGAATGGAGTAGGACTGAATGGCTCGTCAACACAATAGTCGTATTGTCTGTGGTTACTTATGCAATATTTAGGCGGATCAATATTTATGCGGATCATTTTGCACAGAAGTTGACGTTTATTCTAATTCCAAATGGGGGGGGGGGAGGTAAATGGTGCGTTGTATCATAAGCTCTGTCATTGAGTCAGCTGGCGTGGTTTCGATTCCACGGTTGTACGTGACAAGGAGTAGGACCGCTTGTCCAACCTCGTGGGGTGGGTTTTCTCCTGATCCTCCGGTTTCCTTCCACTGCTAAAGACTCCTACGCGCTAGCGAATAATTGAAATAAAATTTTACCATATGACCAAGTTTGTTTCTAGTGGACGTTAAACCCCATTTCTCTCTCAAATTCAAAATTCGAAATATAAATCAACTATAAATTTGTGCAGAGATCCTCGATATTTTGTCTGTACATATCCACTTCAATCCATTGGTTAACTAACATTTCATTTCCTTTCTATGAAATGAAATGAAATGAAATTGGGTTTAACGTCCTACAGGGCTAATGAAGACGGGCATACACCATACAGTGTGCTATGAGGGAAATTTTGTCCGACCAGCGGCATTACGGCCTACTCCTATATCGAATTCCAACTGCCAAGGGATCTTTTACGTGCACGTCAATGTGTACACGGGACCTGGGTTTTTCGTCTCATCCGAAGGACTAGACAGCTGTCCTTGTCAGCCCCCCCCCCCCGTCCTGCACCACTGACAAGGGGAAACCACGCCGGAAAATCCCAATGAACTTTCTCGGCCAATGCAGGGATCGAACACGTGACCTCCAGGCTAGCGAGCCAGCGTCTTACCCACTTAGCCACTGTGGCTCCTCAGAAATTAGTAATAAAATTCCTATATTCGATGTTATTATCAAACTGCTATCGTCTTTCTATGTAAAACAAGATTTATTCTGTTTATTCTGTTAGTCCTTCGGATGAGACGAAAAACCGAGGTCCAGTGTAAACATTGGAATGCACGTAAAAGATCCCTTGGCAGTTTGAATTCGATATAAGAGTAAGCGATAGTGCCGCTGCCCGGGCAAAATTTCCCTCATAGCAAACTGTATGGCGTATGCCCGTCTTCATTAGCCCAGTATAGCAGCAGAACAGTAGGACTTTAAACCCCATTTCATTTCATATTCTGTTTATCTTGTTGTTTATCTTGTTGTTTATATACCACGATGTAGTTGAGTATATCAGTTGTTGACCTTCTGATTACGGTATTACCACCAGAGAGAGA